GGGCATTTTGGTTATTGAGAAGAAGTTGTTTAAAGTTTTTAACATATTTGACCCCTGTGACCTCGAATATGGGTGAAGGTCATTCATTTAAACAAACTTTATAGCACTTTATCTCAGCATGCTACTGGCCAAATATCATCACCCCGAGCATTTTGGTTATTTTAATACAATTGACCCCTGTGACCTTGAATATAATTGAAGGTCATTCATTTGAACAAACTTGGTAGCCCTTCACCCAAGCATGCTACTGACCAAATATCATCTCCCTGGGCACTTTGGTTATTGAGAATAAGATGTTTAAAGTTTTTGACATATTGACCCCTGTGACCTTGAAAATAGGTGAAGGTCATGAATTTTAACAAACTTTGTAGCCCTTTATCCAAGTTTGCTTCTGGCCAAATATCGACACCCTAGGCCTTTCAGTTATTAAGAAGAAGTCGTTTAAAGTAAAATATTGACGCCGGACGACGGACGCCGCGCCATGGCATAAGCTCACTTGGCACGAAGTGCCAGGTGAGCTAAAAACAATCAAGAATATTATATCCTTCTCTCACGCGTCCACTAAATGACATAGCGTATCTTAAAAATTACATGTGACTTGACATTGTTTAAGAAAGAAATAACGCAAATTAGCAATAGTCAGCATTTTAGTTTCGGTCAGGTCCAAATCTGTACCTGTCGTTTTCTTTACATGTTCAACCGTTTCAACCGGATACGCGAATGTACCCTAGGTAAAATGTTGTTATTCATTTTCCTCTCACACACATGCACACCCACCCCCACCGATATCTTTGCCATAACCCCCTCCCTGAGACTTGGTCTGGTCTAGCAGTTTAAACGTCTCGAAGACCTCGATCGACAATACGATCAAGATCAGATCACGTGACTTTGTTTACGTCGAATGCTCTAGTTTGCCCGAGTCAACGCTCAGCGATGCTGGCTAGATCTGGAATGTGGAAGATGACTCACATATGCGCCAGGTTATAAATACACACATAAGGTTCATTATATTGAATGAATCATAAACAAAACTTTCTAAAATAGCCAGACAAACTAATTGAATCGAACGAACAGTCACGGAATTATCTTTGTCCCGAGAACTTTTTCTCGGAACAGTGTTCGGGTACGAATGGAGACGACGTAGTACGGACAAGATTGATTTATCAGCAGAATTTGTTGGGGACTGTCACCAGCAGGTGAGTGTTTAGTCACCAGTAGCTTAACATGTATCATCGTATAAAAACCACTACTTAAACTTTACTCAACGACATTCTAACAGTCTGTGAAAAACGTATTGAGAATTGATCGAAAAGAAGTATATTGGGTAAGTTTGTTATTAGAAGATCAGTGATTCTAGCTCTAGTTACAAATGTCATAGTGAGAGAGATGTTGTTTGGACGGACACTTTTTGGGTCCTTGTAAATGTGGACCAAATTAAAATCTAAACTTAATAATAATAATATTTATTCGGTAAAAGCAAGATGCATGTACAAATATCACATATGATCACAGATTTCAATTGCATAATAATCACAGATTTATCACAGTATTTAGCTTATCACATCAAAGTTAATATCACAAATTTTGGAGCACTATAATTACAATGTATCTGTTTGACTAAGCTTTAACCTAGGATATCCCATGAAAGCTGGGTGGCAGCTTATTTCCAATGGGGTCCTCTAGTATAGATCTTAATTACTTAGATAACAAAAGGTCCTAAGGATTTGACCTTATAATATGAATATAAGATGGTATAATTTCTCGTAATAATATATATATGAATAGAATAAGTTGTAATTGGTCAAATATGATGATGATATATTATTTCATCAAAATAAGATGTTATTTTATTTGACGGTATAAGATGGAGTTGTCATTAGCAAATATGATTTCCTTCTGATAATATATATATGTGGGGCTATGCATGATGTTGTTTCCACTTGTAATATTAAAATATCAGTTATATGTATCACTGTACATATCATAAAGCAAGATGATGTCATTCTTGCAGATATTAAGTAACAATATAAGATATACATTTATACTGTGGTACTTGTGTGTAGAACAGACAACAGGTGGTTGGACAATCCCTACCAACCTATTATCTGTCTAACAAATTATAGCAATTTGGGGTATAATACATATATAAAAATGACTTTTAATAAAATAAAGATTGAGGATGATGGTAATAAAATGTTCCATAACATTTATAAAAAGTACATATTATATTGGTACTTTAGTTAAAACTTTGGTAATACATCATATATTTTTAGAAGAAGTTTAGAGTCATCCACTGGGATAGAATAAAAATTACCTTTAGAAGACAAATTCTTGCTCAAAATCATTTTTTGCCAAAACTTGTAAGTACTTTTTTATCTCGCTTTTGAATTTCATCTTGTGATCGACAGATTTTATTGAATGTGGTAAGTTATTCCAATCTTTGATAGCATTATAGAAAAAAGATGATGATTCCACACCTTTTATATAAGGAATGTTGAAATTCAGATCACTGTTCCTGGTAAAGTGTTTTTTCTCTGTTCTAGTAAAATTTTCTTTCATATAGGATGGACATTTGTTATGTTGAATATTAAAGACATGGTTAAAACGGAGCTGTTTCACCCTGCTCCTAACATCCAACATATTAACTTGTTCCAATTCCCAATGGGTGACTCTTGATCTATTATCAAGTTTCAGAACAAATCTGACCACTTTATTCTGTGTAATTTGTACTTTTTGTCGAAGTTTTTTGGATATGTTTTCGAACCAGCAGCTAGAAGCATAGTCAAAATGACATTGGATCAGTGCCGACACCAGGGTTTTACTTATCGAGGGGCCTTTAGTTGAGTTTCTATGGAACGAATCGACAATAGTCCGAGTTGTTTACGCTGGTGAAAAACCTGTTGATTTTATTAACCAAATCAACAGGTTGGGCACAACGGCGCATATGGGTAATAATCCTGCATTTGGGTAACATCTTTGTATGTTATGGTTGAATGCACTTCGAATCTACTTTCACTATCCTATATAAAAAAATCAAAATTTTGTACTTCACCTACGTTATTGAAAATCGCCATATCTATTGGTTATTACAAACAACTTTTGGTTGAACAGTTCGGTTTTGAAAGTATTTCAAGACCTTTGAAGCCTTAGAAAAGTCGGGACATCTAAAATCACGAAAATGTCAAAACACGAAAAAAAGTTCAACCAAAAGTTGTTTATGATAACCATATAAATAGCGATTTTTAATAAAGATAGTGAAGTACATTTTTTTATAAAGTATAGTGAAAGTAGATTCGAAGTGCATTCAACCATATGCGCCGTTGTGCCGAACCTGATCACCGAAGTGAGTACACCTTTTGTTACAGAGGTCCTGTATGATAGTGTATACACTTCATAGTAGAGAGCGCCTGTGTATTGTCATGCCACAAACTTGGACATTTAAGAATTACCTGTCTGTAGATTATATTTATATAATGCAAGTGTAAAAGATGTGTTTTAATTAGGTTGCCTTACAAGCGTCAGCTGTAGGGAATTTCCCGTTAGCTCAGCGGTAGAGCATCGGGCTGGAGAGCCATGGGTCGCGGGTTCGAGTCCTGGCGCCAGCACTATTTTTATCACTTTTCCTCGTCCTATGACATACACATTTCAACAGGTCCAGTACACTCTGCCGATTGAGCTATATAGCTATAAAGACCTATATAGCTATATACACCTTCTAACTTATAGCTGTATTGAGCTATATATGTTTATTTTCATTTTTCATAATGTAAAATTTCCGATTTTTTACATCATTATTTTTTAAAAAGAATACTTATATTTAATGTCTTTTGTTATCAATCTAATGATACAATCTTCTTATAAAAGCGACTTTGTTTCGTTTTCCTTAAAAAAGAAAATCACTTGAAAATAGCTCAAAAGACCTACATTGTATTTCAGATAGGTCAAAACAGCTATTATAGTTCTTTACAGCTATATAGCTCGATCGGCAGAGTGTACTGGACCTGTTCAAGCACAGGCATTTGTTTCTGTCAATAAAATGGTCCTAACAATTAAATAAATGGCTGGGATTTCAAGTCAGTTTTTGTGTTGGAAGTTGCAATAAGTTAAAAAAATATGACTGTTCCTGTGTGCAGAAAAGGTATCAGATCGACTAGGTGATAAAAGGCTTCTTTACAGTTTAATTAGTCATATCAGATTATAGACATAATTAACTCTCACAAGCATGTTCAGTTTAACAAAACATTATAGAAAGAATATATATAGTTCTTGATTATGTATGGCACATGATGTATTATGACTTATTGCATCAATCTAGAAGTAATATTAATTAGTCAGATTCAATTAGTCTGTATCACGAGTACTGATCGATACTCTGTCAGTATATCATTGATCACTTGGAAATATAAAGAATCATTGCATTGCATTGCTGCTTAAAATGTCTAGTCAGGGCCTAGTACCTATACTAATATATAACATCCGAGAAAGAATTGAAGCCTAAGATTAAATTTACAGTTTGCAGTTGTTACATGTTGCATTTGTAGATGTAATATCTTGTTGGCAAATATTATGTTTTCTTTATTTATTAGGAAAGAATATTTTCAAGTTTACGAAATAATTATGTCAGTCATTATCTATAAAAAGGATATTATTTTCAGTATCAGACGTTCTGTGTAGTATGTAGTATTCTACACACTTATTACGTAGTTCTGCTGAGTGATGAAGTGATTAACTGATATACCAGATATATGTACAGTACATTATGGCACATAAACTGTAGAAGGAACCCTCCCATGACCTACAATTATTGAGTTCTATTTTTACACCCGATATATCATTATATGTCAACTATATATATAGCTACCAGTAGTTGCCCTAAGGTATTGCACGGTACTATACACACATATATATATACCATACATGCAGTTGTGGAAGTTATAAATATAGTTTAACATATATGTTTTGGCACAATAATTATATTGACGCTTAAATGTTCTTCATTATAAAGCTGAAAATATTGAGGAATATTTATAAACCCCCATAACACCTACAGTGAGTTTTTGCAGGTTATTATATTGTGGTAGTAATGTTACATTGTAAGAGTTTGTTATCACAAGCAAAAAGGAATTCTGTATACCTCAAATATAACCCCATTTAGACATTGATTTTTTTCTCAAAAAGCATAACTTGGGTACCCCAAAAAGAATATCTTACATGTGCCTCTTTTTTCCCCTGTGAGTGTGATTGTGTATAAGTCTGATCTGTTGACTATAGTCACTTAACCTTGATCATGATATCGTGATTACACCCAGTACAGGAATAAGGGTGACTGGCATTGGACTGTTGTTCTAAATGACATCATCTTTACACAGTCATGGCCACATGTACTGTGTACCGGGGCTACTTTATATAGGTATGACTTTCCTCGGTTATACTTATATATATAACGAGGCATGGGTCACACTGCCACAGTCTGTGGTACCTACCTAAGCCGACGTTCAAAGTCATGTACATTGTAGTATCAAAAGGGACTGGCTTTATAAGTGTATCAAGGCCAGCCTATACATCATCCTAGTTTACTAAATCATATCTGATGTTACAATCTGTAATACTCTGTGTGAAAACCACCTGATAGGTATGTACACACTCAGACGTCTAGCTATATACATAAAACAAAATAAGTTTGTGGGCTTTAAATATACATAGTTTTACCATAGCTGGTAATACACCTTAATAATAATCTTTTTAAAGATTCAACCATTTTATTCAGTAGGTATTAATACTATATATATATATCTGTAAAATGCTCTGGTTTCTGACTATCTCTAAGTATATATATATATAGCTTAATTTCCTCCTGATCTTTTTTGTTCTGACCCAGACTGTTAATTTTCACTCAATAATTCTTGCTACAAATTCTATATAAGTACATTGGTTGTAGAAACTGAGTATTAGATTTAAATGACTCAATTATTTTCCAACTCGGTGTTGTATTAATTACAAATAAGAAGTACCTTAAGTTTTTAAGGTAATTCATACATTTACAAATCAAGCCTAATAAACAACAATTTGTTTTCATTTGGAAATTCTTTGCACAAATTATAATACTGGGTATGTGAATTAAATGTGTTATATTTTTTTATTTTTTTCAGTGCAATATTCCAGTGAAGAAGGCCCAAGAAATCTGGTCCCACTGACCATACAGTGACCGTCTTCTGACCAGTAATCACAGTTAATATGAAACTTCAGCCGCTGTTGTTTGACGCGAGTGCTATGTACGGCCATCCAGGACTTGCTATGCCGACCTGGGGTCAGTGGTCACAGCCAATCACAGCGGCCCCTGTGTCCCGCCAGCCTTACCAGCGACTCAGAGAATACACTGTGCCGGAGGTATCGCAGGAGATTTCCGCAGATTTCTGGGAACCTGTTGTTCCTAATTCTATCTTAGACTCAAATGAGATTTCTCGGACTAGTGATGACCATAGGTCAAGGCCTAGGTCAGGTGTTGAACATTCGATACCGATTAAGATTGAACATTTAACAACAGGAAGGTCAAGGATGTCTGGTATGTATGACGATCGTGTTTGTGAATACAATCAGACATCTGATTATGATGATTATCATCAGGACCGAAGTCAGAGAGGTTCACATGTCAGCCCTCTCGACGACGACAGAACTAATTCAAACAGCAATGCTAATGGAGAAAGATTAAAAACTAATGAGTATACAAGGCGTACAAGGTCGAGTGATGAAAGTGAAAGAACTCTCCGGTCCAGGTCAGATTTATATAACAGAACTTCTAGATATGGGTCAAGGCCATCGGACAGGTATGTGGCTAGTGATATAGAGGCTAGACCGGAACGATCCCGGGAAGATCTCATATGTACAGGCCTCCAGAGGCCATATGAGTCGTCGAGTAAGTGTGATTATGAGGATATTGATGCTCAGATAGCAGCATCGTATGGCTATGACATGGGAAAGGAAGAGAATGATGTTGAACTCAAAGTTGACTTACCAAAGTCCCCGGGCAGTAGTACCCCTATTCTCTCCAAACTAAGGACGTTGAGGTCATCTAACATGTATATCATCCTTGATAATGAGGAAGAGGAGGAAGTCAGATCTTACAAAAAGACAAATCCGTCTCTAAAAAAGAGTGATAACCTGTCAGGAATTCTTAACTCTAGAGGTGAATTTTATGATTTGTGTGATGAAGATTGTGAGTGCCAAAAACTAGTTGTCAATCTACCCCCTCCCAAGGCTAAGGTCACAACCCCTACAAAGGAATCTTCTGAAACTCCAAAAGAAAATCTTGCCAAGACACCTTCAGATAATCGTAACATATCTGCCCCTCCGAGTTACCCAGCCTATAAAATTATTAGAAAAGTCATCAGCAGCTTTGGAGGCATTGTCGATTACATCCGGGGCGATGGAAATTGTTTCTTTCGTGCTCTCAGCAAAGTCATTTACGGAGTGGAAAGTTGTCATGGTGAGATTAGACAGGCTATGGTTGACATCATGGAAAAATTCCCGAAAGATTTTGAACAATTCATCGACAATCGTTCCATAGAGGATCACTTTCAAGAGATGAGGAAGGATGGTGTCTGGGCTACACAGGCGGAGATATACGGAGCTGCCTCGTTTCTCCAGCGTGACATCTACATTCTGTCCCCTGACCACACGGGGGACGAGTATCGTTGGTTACTGTTCTCGCCTCGCCTAAAGTGTTCCAAGGTCGACTCCTACCATACATGTCATGTGACTCTCTGTCATACCAATGGCAACCATTACGACAGGATCGCTCCGGCAACTGGCGAGTGTAACTGTGGAGTGGCGCCTCCTATTTTAAATGGAACAAACCTACAGGTGGATTTGACCTCTGGGACAGAGGAAGTTGTTTAATTGTTACCGAGCACAGACCCCCCCCCAACATCCAACACCACATCACTTCAGACCTGGCAGTGTTCCTGCTGGAGTAACAGCTACTGAACCAGAGTCATTAGATAACTCCACACACAGGCGTTCATTGTCTACAGAGTTCTAGGTTTACTTGGTTATCTTCAGTTTGAGGCGTGCTCGGCATCACAAGCTGTGAACTTAGAACCACATGTCCATGATTATAAATGTTTTTAGATAATTGTCTGTAAAACTTTGTCATTTTTTTAAAACCTTACAAACTGTTTAACTCTGCTCCCTTATTATATATAATTTGACATCACAGAAATGAAAAACCTTTTAATGACCGACAGCATATATATATGACCATGATCTTGATAAAAATCTTAATAAAAAGAAGTCTACAAATGAAGGTGCTTCCCATTGATAACTGTACATGTCTACGGATTACCACCTTACCATTGTGATAATTTCTACCACCTTACCATTGTGATCATTTCTACCACCTTCCCATTGTGATTATTTCTACCACCTTACCATTGTGATCATTTCTACACCTTACCATTGTGATCATTTCTACCCCCTTACCATTGTGATCATTTCTACCACTTTACCATTGTGATCATTTCTACCACCTTGCCATTGTGATCATTTCTACCACCTTACCATCGTGATCATTTCTACCACCTTACCAGTCTGATCATTTCTACCACCTTACCATTGTGATTATTTCTACCACCTTACCATTGTGATCATTTCCACCACCTTACCATTGTGATCATTTCTACACCTTACCATTGTGATCATTTCTACCCCCTTACCATTGTGATCATTTCTACCACCTTGCCATTGTGATCATTTCTACCACCTTACCATCGTGATCATTTCTACCACCTTACCATTGTGATTATTTCTACCACCTTCCCATTGTGATCATTTCTACCACCTTACCTTTGTGATCATTTCTACCACCTTACCATTGCGATCATTTCTACCACCTTACCATTGTGATAATTTCTACCACCTTACCATTGTGATCATTTCTACCACCTTACCATCGTGATCATTTCTACCACCTTACCAGTGTGATCATTTCTACCACCTTACCATTGTGATCATTTCTACCACCTTACCATTGTGATCATTTCCATTAGTTATCATTTGCTTCAGGCTCCCTTTTTGCAGTGATTGTAGACAAAGGGGATTCACATCATTTTATCAACCGAAATAACTTTTCTCTTTACTTCTACATGAACTGTGTACATATTTATTGCAAATAATTGCATACCTCTCTGTGTGTAAGACTTTCATGTAAGATAAATAAAATGACCTCCCATGAGTTTTCTTAACTACCTGTACCTACTGTACTTGTATATATATATATATATAGCTTATAATCGTGATGATCATGAAACACACAAGCTTTGTTTTGGTCTAGTCATTATGAACTGCCATGACCTGCTGTTGACTGTTAAAACAAACTTTGTATCACATTTAATTTGACTAAGTGCATCAATATATACTGTATCAGTATTTATTTTAATATTTTTGGTGATCACATGTAGCTAGGCTTTATTTTTCGAACTCTGACCTGTTGATCACGAGAAGATTCCTGTTGTAATGTTTGTTTTATAACATAATACTTGGTGCTAAAACCTGACTTGCCATGCATGATCGTGACTTCAGTAACTTATGTATATATACTGGAGAATTGTTGGTATTTTTAAATAAGATTGTTTATTCCAAAAGGTGCTAATTATAAGGTTGCTATATTTGATGTTGTTCTGTATCCAGACATGAGCATTGATGGATAATGATGCCTAATAAACACCAAACCAATAATTACAACATTTAAAAAGCATTATTTTCATTCTTAATTTTAATTGGTGCTGTATACGTATCTCTAAGTAAGTATTACATTGACAAGTTTTAATGTAAAATATTGTTTTTATTTTCTGCTCTTTCAATTGACCTACATACATGTTTTTCAAAAATAGAATAACTTCAAGTTTATAGCACATCTTACTATAGAATACATTGATTTATTACAAATATTTAACTTTGATGCCAATTTTTGATTGTCACTTTAATAACACAACTTTTTTTCTGAGTTCTAGTCACTATGATATATTTTAGCATTAATTTTACCGTTGTAAATTCTTTACTTTTACTGAGCATATAAATTATAGAGAAACGATAAAAATACTTTGTCCCATCAATTCTACAGCTACACTTTGTATGTAAATTGAGGCCATCATGTCTTAACTTGGTTATAAATAGATATATTGTTCAGCGAGATGGCATTTTAACTCATTCACCCCTAAAGTCACATTTTGAACCTTACCAAATCCAAGACTGGGCAAGTCTAGTATTAACAATAACATGTAGGGGTGAATGCGTTAAAAGTTGGCCATCATTTGACGAACGGCTGAAAATGAGAGTTTCTGAAGCAACGGATGGAAACAGACTCCAATCCGCACCTACTTATAATTACCATGCCTTAGGGGTGTACCATGTGACGTTGGTTGTATTGATTGTCCATGTGTCTTTCAGTGCCTTTGATATTTGACATATTCTTAATGTCCTCAATATTGTGACTTTACGGATGTGTATTGGTTACTATGGTGATGTTGTAACTGATGTTGATATGTAGTGCACCGTTTCCTTGTTGTTCGTTCACTTCATAATGTTGATAATAAACATGAATATCCTTAGTTTGGTTTGTTAAAACAATCTCATCATTATCTTTCTGGGCCCAGTTGTTCAAAAGGTGATAAGCTTAATCACAGTTTAACGACAGTTTTCAACCTTCAATAATTTTATCAATATACAAGGTAAAATCTCACAATTTTGGATGTAAATTGGTTTAACTAAATATTTGCATTTATATCTGGAAAGTTGTAGATACACAAAAATTAAAATTTGTGCTAATCTCTGATTAAGCTAATCATCTTTTGAACAACTGAACCCTGGTGTTTTTGTTTGGAGTAAAGTGGATTGACTTCGCCTCTCCACTGTATGTCACCATTTACTTACTTGGTAATGAGAAAATTTCTCACAAAAATTTATTTTGAATTTTTTGTTTAATTTTTTTGTTTAAATTCATTATTCAATATTGGTTGTGAAGTTTTACATATATCAGCATTCATGACTTCTTGTATGTATCATTCTTAAGTCCTATATATACGGTGAAAAAAAAGTATTATAATGTACCTGTATTGAAAAGATCAGTATTATAATGGATAAAAGACAATACAATTCTATATACAGGGCTCAGGATAACAGCTTATCTCACATTATATATGAATATATCAGGAAAACATGACCATCTACAAATTATCTTACACGGATACTGGAGGAACAGTGTTTTACTAGAGATATTTCTGGTATACATATAATTATTATACAAGTTACAATATTCAGTCTATTTTTTATGTGAAGTTAATATTTTGAAAATCAGATATATCAGCTGTACCTTTAACTTGAGAATTATAATTTTTTATTATTAAAATCTATTGATTTTATTTGTATACATTTTTTAAATGTGGAAGAAAAAGGTGTTAATCGTGTGGTTCTCTACTCTAACATGCTATCTGGGCAACAACATTCTACGTACATTTAGTGATCAGTCCTGGGTCCTGTACCCGTAGAATTTCTGAAAATACTGAAGTATAACTGGTGGGACATATATTTTTAAACCGTACAGTGGAAAAAGACCCATACAAACTAATTATAGATTGATCACTGTACAGTAACATTGGCTAGAGTTAATTGGATTTGATTGGACTTAAACTTTGGCTAGAGTTAATTGGATTTGATTGGACTTAAACTCCAGTACTTAATAATTATACAAGCATTAATATTGAACTTGTAAAGTGTAATAAGCCAGCTCAAAAAGATTTACGAAATCAGAAAATCTTTTTATTTATCTTTAAATAACGTCTATATATTTGGCTGATAACCGACACATTTGAATATATAAATTGTAAGACAATTTTAATTTGTTTACAACCAGTCAATGATTTTATACTAAAGATTATTATCATGATGTCTCCCTTGTCCACTAGAAACCGTTGTCTAATACGCACAACATGCACTTAAACTAGAATATATTTCCCTGCGAACATACAAGTCTGTAATTTAAATACTCTTTAGTCAGTATTGTTTGAATTAATTATCAGAAACGAGAAGACATCTCTGTTCATTTACTTCGTTTAAGTTTTATCTATCTTTAAACCTTAAACCTTTTAGGTTTAAAAGAATATTTTATCAAACTTGTGTTTATTTTGAGATGAGATTATCAGTGATGGATGAAGGGACTATATATATATATACGGAGATGTATATCGGGGTACGATTGTTTGTTCAGTTTTTATGTTTTCGTTATTTAGCTTTTAATTAGTTTATATTTTTATATGTTGCTTTTAATATGATTATGTTGGAAAATATCCCTTCAGTAAATAAATGTTTGTCAACTAAACATCGTGTTGTTAATTACCTGTAGTTGTAAATAGTCTGTATTAGATATTTAACCCTATATTATTGACCTCACAAGTAAATTGTCTGTATTAGATATTTAACCCTATGTCATTGACCTCACAAGTAAATTGTCTGTATAAGATATTTAACCCTATGTCATGGACCTCACAAGTAAATTGTCTGTATTAGATATTTAACCCTATGTCATTGACCTCACAAGTAAATAGTCTGTATTAGATATTTAACCCTATGTTATTGACCTCACAAGTAAATTGTCTGTATTAGATATTAAACCCTATATTATTGACCTCACAAGTAAATTGTCTGTATTAGATATTAAACCCTATATTATTGACCTCACAAGTAAATTGTCTGTATTAGATATTTAACCCTATGTTATTGACCTCACAAGTAAATTGTCTATATAAGATATTAAACCCTATATTATTGACCTGGAAGGAAATTGTCTGTATTAGATATTTAACCCTATATTATTGCCTCACAAGTAAATAGTCTGTATTAGATATTTAACCCTATATTATTAACCTCACAAGTAAATCATCTGTATTAGATATTTAACCCTATGTTATTGACCTCACAAGTAAATAGTCTATATTAGATATTTAACCCTATATTATTGACCCCACAAGTAAATCATCTGTATTAGATATTAATCCCTATATTATTGACCTCACAAGTAAATTGTCTGTATTAGATATTTAACCCTATGTTATTGACCTCACAAGTAAATTGTCTATATAAGATATTAAACCCTATATTATTGACCTCGAAAGGAAATTGTCTGTATTAGATATTTAACCCTATAGTATTGCCTCACAAGTAAATAGTCTGTATTAGATATTTAACCATGAAACATTTTGTCAAGACTTTTTTGCCAGTTGTATCTTAATATTTTTTAATTCTTAAAATTTTGATGTCAATTAAGACATTTTAAAATGTCCTTATAAACCCCATTGTGTGGAGTAAAATAGGGTATGACTTGTGACCTAGTTTGTATGACTTGTGTATGACTTGTGACCTAGTTTGTATGACTTGTGACCTAGTTTGTATGATTTGTGACCTAGTTTATGTTGTATACTTGTAGTACTCCTGAAGTAACTACTGCATCTTAGCCCTGGATTCTACAGAATTTAAACTTCCACATCAAATGTTAAGACACGCATATTTGTGGTTTATATTGTAAACATTGATCACAACTAGTTCTGTAAGTATTATATAAGGTCCTTGGACAAAATCCATTTCATTATTCTGTATAAAACATGAACATACAAATAATAGTCAACAGAACAAAAGTCACCAGAAATATTTCACATCAAATGTCAATGCTGTTACATATACTGGTACTGTTTTCAGAATGTTTAAATATCTCTACTTCAGCAATAGGTACTTCCTCTCTCTTTGTCACTTAATTGTCAACTGGTGGATTGTGTAAGTAAAACGGAACTGAATATTGAAGAAATTGTCAAAAAATTCATGCTGAATGAATGAAAAACAAGAGACATGAAAACAAGTACAAACATATTTAATGTCAAAATACATAAAAACATAAAACCCATGTTAAAACATTGGCCCCTTGATCTCTTAGCCAGACCCTGACCGATTCTATACAAACTTTACACAAACATTCTAACATCTTTTATAACTGAGTTGTATCAGAACTACATTTATCAAATATTAAACACAAGATGATTTTTTGGAAATAAATTCTTAAACCGACTAATTCTTCACAGGCACTATACATGTATATATATTTAGCAAAATAGTTAATGATCAAGGGGGCATAATTGCTCTATTTCTCCCATACTATGGTAGTTTGCTAAAATTTGCATTTTTTTTCCGTTTAAAATCTCATTTAAAAAGCAGGCTTATTCTAGGAAATTAAGTCTCAAAGTAAAACCAGCGTCTGGCCATCTTTCACTTAATTAGAATGAGAATGTTATTTCATTTACAGATTACAAGCTCAACATCTACACATCCCTGTGAATTGGACAAATCTTGAAAATAAAGATTCTTCATTTATTTGATGACCACTTGAATGAAATAAGATAAATGAATTATCATTTCAATGAAAAAAGCCAAATTAACACGACTACATTGCTGTATATCTGAACACTTTTGGGATGCCTATTTAGTTTTTCGCACACAAACAGATTATCTCTACCAGTGACAAGCTCAGTATCCATGTCTCTTGCGAACATGACATGAGCTAATCCGAGATTAATATCAATGATTTATTAGAGATGATATGATGATTGAAAGTTTAGATACAAAGTAGTAAGTATGAATCTGAATGCAATGAAGGGGTAGAGCGTAGTGTTTCTTTGCAAGTTTCAGTAAGGTATGAAAAAGTAGGGTTTGGGGAATGTAGTATGTATCAGTGTTCCGGTAGACCTGTTTGTTTGGAGTGTCATTGTGGATCCTATTGATAAATACAGTAGTACATGTAAGAGCGTTTTGCCAGGGCCGACCTGAGTGGCAATAGGGCTTCAAGTGTGGTTTCAGTAATATGTCTGTACAAAGCTTGTTGCCACTTGAGTGGGAGAAAAGTGAGTGTGTGGTATTAGTAACGGCTATAAGGAGCTTATTGCCACGGGTCGACTTGAGCGGCCATATGGGTTGGAGTGTGGTATATATCAGTAACGTCTATAAGGAGCCTGTTGCCACGGCCGACTTGAGCAGCCATATGGGTTGGAGTGTGGTATATATCAGTAACGTCTATAAGGAGCCTGTTGGCACGGGTCGATTCGAGCGGCCATATGGGTTGGAGTGCGGTATATATCAGTAACGTCTATAAGGAGCCTGTTGCCACGGCCGACTTGAGCGGCCATATTGGTTGGAGTGCGGTATATATCAGTAACGTCTATAAGGAGCCTGTTGCCACGGCCGACTTGAGCGGCCATAAGGGTTGGATTGTGGTATCGGCTGTGCGGTCAGTCTCTGTATCACCTGCTGACGGTGAATCTCCAACTGTATGTTTTGCTGCTGAAACACTCGTTCTCGTCTCTGTTGAAATGACACAGCTGTCATTACCTGCGGTTGCATGTTGGGCAAGTTTCTAAAATTGACATCTGGGCTTCGTCCACTTGGCTGTGTATTCCCATGCCAGGTTGCAGACCTTTGAAGGTTGTGTTGATGATGACCAGCTGGAGACCTGTTGTCGTGCGAGTTTCCACTTGGCAAGGGACTGTTATACGAGGAGGACTGTGCTGCACTTCCCCCGTCATACGTAACGCTACTGGAGGACCCTAGAAACAATGAATCACATCAAGTTACACAACCATTATTTAATAGTATCATATGCGTCTGTTTGTTAATGAAAATGGATTATAAAGGTCTATTAACTCATGATCATTCACCCCTGAAGACACATATCCACTCTCCAATTCAAAGTTTGGTATAGTTCATTATGAAATTTTAGGGGTGAATGAGCTAATTTCATCTAATGATTTGTTATAAATTATCTTGATTATCACAGAAAACCCCTAAAAAAGTCTTTTACATCAATTTAAAAGCTTATGTAACAGAAGTTTATTATTTTCAATGCCTCAGAGTTGGACCAGGGACCTCTTGTTTACTAGTCTTACACTATACTGAATGAGCTGAAAGAAAAATCCTCTTTTACCGAATTGATAGGAAGCAGTTAGTATTTTACCAGGGCAACACTTATATTGCTGAAAAAATGCAAATAGTTTTGAAAAAATCACTTGAAATATGAGTTGAAATATCAGTTCTTGATACAATACATTGATACAGAAATAAACAGAACCGTCTAATCAGTCAATGTGAAAATGATATGTTTTCAAAATTTTATAATATTTTTGATAACTGATACTCATTTACTATCAAAATAGCATAATGTGAAGTGGAACCAGCATGGCAGGGGGTCATGCGATCCATACTTAGAGAACACCAGTGTTATAAAAGCATCAGCTTCTGAGTAGTACCTGTTCTCGTTTGTAAGCGTAGGTTATTGCCGAAAAGTTCAATGCCGTTCATCAGTTCTATTGTGTAGGGAACAGAACATTCATGTTTGAATGTGACAAAAGCATATCCCTTTGTCCTCCCTTCTTTGTCTGTAGCTAGTTTGACTTTTTCCAGGGGACCGGCCTGCAAAATCAAACAAATATAATCAATACAAATGAAAAAGAGGTATGTTGTGTATAAATCAATCAATGAAAGTGATTCAAAGATGTATATTACAGGTTTCTGAGTAGGTCAGTTGGTTAGGTCTATCTGAAGTTAAGAGTTAAAAAGCGATTTGAGTTCAAATCATGGCCTGAATGTATTCTTCCAAGCCTACGGGATATGGATTTGTAAAATGAAGGGCCTTCTCAGGCATAAAGACAGAGTGCTAGAGGCGCTTGGTCGTGCAGTTGTAGGGCTAACTTAAAACCCTTGAGTGACTCTGCACACACAACGTTGTGGAAACCCGATTCCAGTCAATGGTCGTTTTGGGAAAGAATGAGTTTTTATAGACAGTGTCTTTCAGAATGTAGTGTTAAAGCACCTAGAGTTGTTGGTTTCCTGGTTTTCTATAATGCTTTTTTTGTGACACAGTCTGCAAACCGTTTTGCTCTAATGTTCCATTTCCCTCGAGTTGGTGTTAAATATTCCTTACAGTGCATGGCTGGCACCAGCCCCTCAACATGTTTATAAAATAATGCTAGTCAGTTCTGCTTCCTTCTCTCTTGGAGTGGGGGCAGCCCCAGGTCCTGGAGCATCTGGGTGACCTGCTCCCTGGAGGTGTCATCTCTTGTGATGAACCGGGCCGCCTGGCATTGGATGCGCTCTAGCTTTATAGCTGGTCGATGTCTTTGAGGAGATAGGGGTCCCAAACCACAGAGCTATACTCATGAAGCTGGGCAATGTTTCAGGTTCTACTGCAGAAACCCTAGAGTGGAGTTAGCCTTTTTTTAGTATCTTGGTGATGTGTGGACCAAACCTAAGATCTTCTGAGAGGGTAACTCAGAGGTATGGGGATTCCTGCACTTGCTGAAGGATGTGGTTGTCATGCTGGTAGAAGTGTTGTGACTTGCAGTTAATGCTCATGATGTAGCACTTCTTCCCCCATGTTGATGCCCATCTCTCCAAGTCAGCCGGGCCCTTTTGGAGCTGTAGGTGCATGGTCTCTCAGGTTCTGGATGCACCTGTGCAGTAGGCAGTCATTGGCAATGAGGCGAACTGTAAATTTGACTGGGTCTGGAAGGTCATTAATTTGCCAAAGAAACAGTATCAGGCCTCCAGAGGCCATGTTGACCGAGTTGGACTCTTCACCGTCGACCACCACCTTCATGCTGCGATTTGTCAGGAAATCTCTCGGCCAGCTTTTCAATGACCCATCCACCCCGTACATGTTCATCTTATGGAGTAGTTTGTTGTGGGAGATGGCATCAAAGGCCTTAGAAAAGTCCAAAATGGCCATGTCAATCTGGGCACCAGTGTCATACTGCCTCATGAGGTCACGGATGCCTCTCGCATGAATAGCCTAATCTTAAGCTGTTGTAAAATGATTTTAGGATTGGGTTCCTTTCCAGATGGTTCATGATGTGCTTGCAGGATACACAGGTGAGTGAGACCATCTGTAATTCACTGCCTGATGACTCTCTCTTCTTAAAACAGGTGTTACATTAGCATGGAGCCAATCAGCTGGCAGTTTGCCACTGTCGATCGAGCATTGGAGTGCAAAAGACAGTTGACGAGCACAGTTCTTCAGTATGGTGGTGGGGATCATATCAGTACCTTAATGGGCCTTGCTGGCGTTGATGTTTTCTAGGAGCTTCTTTATCCCGGCAGATGTTATGGTTAGGGGCAGGATCTTAATTGTTCTTGCACATCTGTGGGATATTAGGCAAGTCCTTGTTGTCATCCATGGTAAAGACTGACTAGAACTGGTTTACGAGGATCTGCGCTTGGTCTTACATGTGGAAGCTTACACATCCAGGCATAGCTAAAGTTGTCAATCAATAAGTTGAAAGAACATAGTTATCCATTGTCCCGAGTTTCCTCTGGCCCTGACACCAGACTAAAACATTTTGGCACCATACATATATCTGTCAAAATCTGGTGTCAGGGCCAGAGGAAACTGGGGCTAGTTATCCATATGAACAGGTCCAGTACACTCTGCCGATTGAGCTATATAGCTGTAAAGACCTATAATAGCTCTATTGACCTATCTGAAATAGGTCTTTTGAGCTATTTTCAAGTGATTTTCTTTTTTAAGGAAAACGGAACAAAGTCGCATTTAAAAGAAGATTGTATCATTAGGTTGATAACAAAAGACATTAAATATAAGTATTCTTTTAAAAAAATAATGATGTAAAGAAATCGGAAATTTTACATTTATGAAAAATGAAAATAAACATCTAAAAATGTATGCTTTTTGTAGTCAACATTACCATCAACCTTATTGTTTAGTGCGACTTTGCTTAAATTCAATGAAATTTGAAATCTGAGAAAATATAGCTCAATACAGCTATAATTTATATGTGTATATAGCTATGTAGGTCTTTATCGGCGCGTCTAATTACCCAATACTACCCAATACCACCCAATACTACCCAATACTACCCAATACCACCCAATACCACCCAATACTACCCAATACCACCCAATACTACCCCATACGACCCAGTTATGAACCAAATACTTCTTTATTACTGTGAAATATCACCTTTGTAGACGTTATTTACTTCCATCTGCCATATTTTATCGGGAAATATGCGATTTGGTGCCGAAAACATCACCGAATTGCCGTGACTATGACCCAATACTACCCCATACCACG